GTGTGTCCATACCCAGTCCTACTCACTTTCCTGCAGAGCCAAGGTGGGCATAGGAAAGCCACGGCTTTTCCCAGCACCAGCAGTAGCCCCTAAAAGGACTTGTGGGTACAGATCCCATCTGGAGCAGGGGTGAGCTGGTCACCCATGGACACCACAAGCATGGCAGCTCCCAAGGCTTTCCAGGCTTTAAGATTTGTGTCCCAGGCACTCGATCCCCAGATTCCAGCATTGCCCACAGGTGCATGAACATCAGCCACGCGGGCAGTGGGAATTCTACTTGAACATAATTCCATGCAATCTGACTTTTTTGGGGACTGTTAGTCATAATTTGTGGACTTAAACCTGAGCTATTAATCAGCTTTGGGGGAACGCTAGGTTTTTAGGCAATTGCTATATGAAGTGATGCCATGGGGAGATTTTTGAGGGAGGGGGATGCTCATGGTATCAGTCCCAGAGATCTCGGCATGCCCACCTGCCAGGAACACCATGTAAGGTCAGGGAAAAATTGACTTATTTCAAATTTTTTTTCAAATATTTCTGCCCATGACTCCAGAACATGCTCCACACAGGTGATGCTTATCTCTAGCACCCATTCCTGGGCATCCTCACAGCCCATCCCAAAGCAAAGGAGGGAAATTGCAGCCTCTGGGATATTTTTTCTCATTGTCAGCATGGAAATGAGCTGCTGGAGCATCTGACTCCGAGGTCCTGTTTTCTCAGAGCACATGGTATGTAGGTCAGGGATGTTAAAAGCTGCCATGGCTGGCTGTGGATTTTTAGATTCATCCATCCAGAGCAGGAAAATTCTCCTCCTTTTGCCCTTTGTGTCAGCTGGAATAACCATCAGCTTCACAAACAGGCGGACATGGATCTACCCACTCCGGGAGGATAGAGGGCAGGCAGTCCCTGGTGTGGTGGGGGCATCCCTGTTCCAGAGAGATGATGGGGAGCATCCCTGTGGGGTGGAAAGGCCCCTGTGATAGCACAACGAAAGCAGGAAAGGGTGACAGTCACTGCTTTGGCGTCGCTGTGGGTTCTCTTGTGGTCCCCCCACTCTCACATGTGCAGTGAGAGCAACCCCCCACCTGGGAATGACATCCCGAGGGGTCTGGCAAGTTGTTCAGGCTGAAAAATGCCCTGCTCCAAATGTTAAAGGATTCTGGGAATAGGCTGGTTTTCTATTTTGGAAATAATGCATCATTTTAAAGCTTTATTTGAATTTATTTGTGTTTTTCTGCACATCAGGAGCCTCAGCAACAGCCCCCTCGCAGCAGGCAGGGCCCAGGGGAGTCAGGTGCTGGTCACGGGGCTATGGGTGGCCCTGGGGGAGAAGGGTGATGCTCGCCCTGGGGGCTGCCGTGACCTGGGGGGTGCTTTCCCATTTCCCTTGGTGACCTGGAATGCTCCCGTGTAGTTATTTTGGGCAAAATTGCTGTGTTCCATGGGGCTTCCTGGAGGAAATCCCTGGGATCTGGGATCTGGGCATCCTGCAGTGCTGGATGGCCACACATCCTGAAGCACTGGGGCCAGGGGGTCCCGCACAGTGTGGGGGCTCAGAAGGCACCATGGAAACAGGGAAGGCTGGAAAATGCCCCATAATGAAGGACTTGCTCAAGGAGTTGCATCTGCTTATTTTGGCAGGAGCACAGGGAGAAGGTTGGGGTGAGAGGAGTCCATGACCTAGGGTTGGGTTTTGGTGAGGTCTGGAACGAGCAAAAAGCGGGTGTGAGGAGAAATAAACGTAACTGTGCTCTGCCCTGGGCAGCACACACTGCCCTGGGGACATTGGAGTGGAGCCAGGGCCTCATCCTGACGCTCCTGGCGCTCTGTGCTTGGTGTAGTGAGTCTGCAGAGGTCCTGGCCCTGCGTCTAGTTCTATGCTGCTCTGATCCTGGTCGTCAGCCCCCGACACAGTGAGCAGCACTGGAAGTGCTCCCAGGCTGTCAGGTGCGATGTGTCACTGTGGTAGCAGAGAGGGATCATCGTTTAGGCAGAGATAAAAGGTGGTGGGAGTTTTATTATTCAAATATAAAATAACTTCCTCTTTCCCAGCACACTGCACTTCCTGGGA